CTCTCGCTGTGTCTCTCTGTGTCAAATCAAAAAAAAAAAAAAATCTTTAAAAAATAAAAATAAAAATAAATGCCAGTTTGGCCTCAATCCACCCCCTTCACCTTAAAAAGAAAAAAAGGTATTAGTTTTCAGTTTCATTTGCCTTTAAATGAACTAAAGTGTTTGGAACTCTTGACCAATACTTCTCAAAGGAAAAAAAAAGAGTCTTTTAGTATCCAATAAGATCTCTCTTTCAACTTTCCAATTACTACTTTCATTAGTAACCCCTACCTCACTCTGAAATTTTCATAACTCAATATGGAGGTTTGTCACAGATTTTGTGGAATACAGCCTGTATGGGCTTGGAGACATTTTGAATTAAGCTTAAGCCCTGAACAGCTTTGCTTAACAAAATTAATTTCCTTCTCAAATTTTAAGTTAGAGTATTATTCCTGCTCTCAGCATATTCCAAACTCTCTTATTTTCTGATACCTCCTATATTAGATGAGCTGTGTGGCTTGATAGCCATCGCTGACACAGTGAAGCCTGAAGCAGAATTGGCTGTCCGCATTTTGAAATCTATGGGCTTAGAAGTAGTTCTAATGACTGGAGACAACAGTAAAACAGCTCGATCTATTGCTTCTCAGGTAATTGGTTTACTTAGTGGTTGGGGTGGGGGGTATGTGGTGACTTCTAATTCCTCATATACATTTTGCTTCTTGCTTTCAAGTGCTAAAGATTCATATTACCTATTATTTTCCTTATCACGGAGTATCGATACCTGGTTTTTAGAGAACAGTTGGCGTGCTATGTTGGAAGGAGTTTGGACTTTGTGTTACTCTTATAACTAAAAAAACCATTTACTTAATTCATGAAATGCTTCAGTGACACCCTACACTAGTTTCTGTTGATACTTCCTTAGAAATGTTGCTCCTATTCTTTACCAGTGCTGCCAGCCTAAGCCAGGCTCTCAAGTGCCCAATCTCTCCTGCCTAAATTACAGCAAAAGCTCCAGGCACTTCCCTCTCTAGTCCATCCTGAACATCACTGGTGGAACCATCGCCTAATGCACCAGTTTGACATATTTTTCTGCTCCTGACCCCCACATTTGCCTTATCTACAAAACTTTTCTCATACTAGTCTTTTCTACTTCAGAATGCCTCCTCCTTCTTCTATTAAATAACACAAGTAATATATGAGTACATTATAAAAAATGCAGAAGGATATAAAATAAAAAGTTTAAGTTACCCTTTTCCCAAGCTCCCTGTCCAGTCCTATCCCCAATTTTTCGTAGGCATTTGTATAGTTTGTATAGGCATTTGTATAGGCAAATGTATAGTTCTGGTATTTTCAACATAAATTACATCATTTTTCTAATGATTGTTCATTCAGGAGTTTGCTTTTTATTTTTTATTTATTTTATTTTTTAAAGGATTTTATTTATTTGAGAGAGAGAGTAGGAGCAGGGGGGCAGGGCAGAGGCAGAGGGAGAAGCACACTCCCTATTAAGCAGGGAGCCCAATGCGGGACTCGATCCCAGGACCCTGGGATCATGATCTGAGCCGAAGGCAAATGCTTAACCAACTGAGCCACCCAGGTGCCCCAGCTGTTTGCTTTGGAGCTTTGTCCATAGCTGAACATACAAAGTTATTTTAGCCTTTCAACATTACTACATGGAATTCTATGGTATGGATGTATCATAATTTACTTAAACATTCCTCCAATGATGGGTATTTAGGTGGTTTTGAAAATTTTGTTACAAACAGGCAGTGATGTAAATCTTTGGACATACATCTTTTTTGGGGGGTGGTTTTCACAGAGCTTTCATTTTTTATTTTTTATTTATTTTTAAAATTTTTATTTTAGTTCCAGTATAGTTAACATACAGTGTTAGATTAGACTCAGGTGTACAACATAGTGATTCAACAGTCCTATACATTACTCTGCTCATCATGGTAAGTGTACTCTTAATCCCCTTCACCTATTTTATCCATCCTCCCACCTAACTATAGTTAAAGAGTCTGGTTTTTGGCTTGTCTGTCTGTCTTCCCTTGTTCATTTGTTTTGTTTCTTAAATTCCACATATGAGTGAAATCATATGGTATTTGTCTTTCTCTGACTGACTTATTTCACTTAGCATTATACCCTCTAGATCCATCCATGTTGTTGCAAATGGCAAGATTTCATTCTTTTTTATGATTGAGTAATATTCCATTGTATATATATACTACATATTCTTTATCCATTCATCTGTCAGTGGACACTTGGACTGCTTCCATATCATGGCTATTGTAAATAATGCTACAATAAACATAGCAGTGCATATATCTTTTTGAATTAGTATTTTCATATTCTTTGTGTGAATACCCAGTATTGGAATTACTGGATCAAACAGTAGTTCTATTTTTAGCCTTTTGAGGCACCCTCCATACAGTTTTCCAGAGTGGCTGCACCAGTTTGCATTCCCCACAACAGTGCCTGAGGGTTCCCTTTTTTCCACATCCTTGCTAGCACCTGTTTCTTGAGTTTTTGATTTTAGCCATTCTGACAGGTGTAAGGTGATATCTCATTATGGTTTTGATTTGCATTTCCCTCATGATGAATAATGTTGAGCATCTTTTCATGTGTCTGTTGGCCAACCTATATATCTTCTTTGGAGAAATGTCTGTTCATGTCTTCTGTCCATTTCTTGACTGGATTTTTTGTTTTTTGAGTGTTGAGTTTGGTAAGTTCTTTATATATTTTGGATACCAACCCTTTATCAGATATGTCATATGCAAATGTCTTCTCCCATTCTGTAGGTTGCTTTTTAGTTTTATTGATTGTTTCCTTCGCTGTGCAGAAGCTTTTTATTTTGATGTTATCCCAATAGTTTATTTTTGCGTTTGTTTCCCTTGCCTCAGCAGACCTATCTAGAGAGATGTTGCTATGGCCAAAGTGAGAAAAATTACTGCCTGTGTTCTCTGCTAGGAGTTTTATGGTTTCCTGTCTCACATTTAATTCTTTAATCCATTTTGAATTTATTTTATAATGGTGTAAGAAAGTGGTCCAGCTTCATTTTTTTGTACATAACTGTTCAGTTTTTCTAACACCATTTGTTGAGGAGACTTTTTCCTATGGCATATTTTCCTCTTTTTTCAAAGATTAATTGACCATATAATCCTGGTTTTTTTCTGGACTCTCTATTCTGTTCCATTGATCTATGTGTCTGTTTTTGTGCCAGTACCATCCTGTTTTGATTACCACAAGCTTTATAGTATATCTTGAAATCTGGGGTTGTGATACCTCCGGTTTTGTTTTTTTTCAACATTGCTTTGGCTATTCAAAGTGTTTTGTGGTTCCATACAAATGTTAAGATTATTTGTTCCAGTTCTGTGAAAAATGCTGTTGGTATGTTGATAGAGATTGCATTAAATCTCTATATTGCTTTGGGTTGGATGGACATATTAACATTTGTTCTTCCAATCCATGAGCATGGAGTATCTTCCCATTTGTCTGGTTATCTTCGATGGCTTTCATCAGTGTTTTATAGTTTTCAGAGTACTGGTCTTTCACCTCTGTGGTTAAGCTTATTCCTACATATTTCATTATTTTTGGTGTAATTATAAATGCTGTTGTTTTCTTAATTTCTCTTTCTGCTACTTCATAATTAGTATTTAGAAATGCAATGGATTTCTGTATATTGATTTTGTATCCTGCGACTTTACTGAATTCCTTCATCAGTTCTAGTAGTTTTCTGGTGAAGTCTTTGGGCCTTTCTATATATAGTATGATGTCATCTTCAAATAGAGAAAGTTTTACTTCTTCCTCACCAATTTGGATGCCTTTTATTTCTTTTTTTAAAAAAATATTATTTATTTATTTATTTGATAGAGAGAGAGAGCATGAGTCGGGGGCAGAGGCAGAGGGAGAGGGAGAAGCAGACTCCCTGCTGAGCAGAGAGCCCGATGCGGGACTCGATCTCAGGACCCTGAGATCATGACCTGAGCTGAAGGCAGGTGCTTCACCGACTGAGCCACCCAGGCGCTCCAAATGCCTTTTATTTTTTTTTTTGTTGTCTGATTGCTGTGGCTAGGACATCCAGTACTATGTTGAATAAAACTGGTGAGAGTGGACATCCTTTTTCTGTTCCCGACCTTAGGGGAAAAGATCTGTTTTTCACCATTGAGGATGATATTTGCTGTGGGTCCTCTAGTCTCCTGTTTATTCTCTCTAGGATATTTTTAATTTCACCTATTGAGTTCTTCATCTCCATTTGCTTCTTTTTTATGTTTTCTGTCTCTTTGTTGACAGTCACACTGAAGTCTCCACTGTTTTCTTAAGTCCAGTGAGTATCCTTATGACCATTACTTTAAGTTATCTATCAGGCATATTACTTATTTTCATTTCATTTAGCTCTCTTGCTGTGATTTTGTCCTGTTCTTTCATTTGGAACATATTCCTCTGTTTCCTTATTCTGTCTAACTTTCTCCGTCTGATTCTATGTGTTAGAAAAGTCAGCTACATCTCCTGCTCTTGAAACTGGTGGCCTTATGAAGAAGAGGTCCTTTAGTACCTGCAGGGCAGTGTCCCCAGTTCACTAGATCCTGGCACTTCACTGGTGTCTCCTATGTGTGTTGTGTGCACTGGACTATTTTGGCTGAGCCACGTTTGCCTTCTGTGCAGTCGGTTAAGCGCCTGCCTTTGGCTCAGGTCATGATCTCAGGGTCTTGAGATCGAGTCCCACACTGGGCTCTCTGCTCAGCAGGGAGTCTGCTTCTCCCTCTCCCTCTGCCTCTGCCTTCCGTCCCTGTCTCTCTTTGCCTGTTGGCGGCAAGATTTGGTCCCTGTGGCATTAGTGGGCCAGTCTGAGGGCCGCCTTGAGCATGAGTTGTGTCAGATCAGGTGTTTGCCAGAGATGCGGTAGCATCAAACTACAGGGTGCTCTCCCCGTGTTGTCCCCTGAGAAACTTTCTTCGGTGGGTAGAGCCTGCCATCAGACCCGATATCTACCTCCAGCACACTGCTAGGTCCCCAGTTGGACTTGTGTCTATGATTATCTTCCCCTCTGCTTGGGGCCGGAGCCACTTGGGAGTGGTTCTGACCCCTGTTGGGACTGCTTGCACACTGCCAGGCTTGTGGCACCACTTTGGATGGGCTCCGGCCGAGGGCAAATTGGAGGGGGCAGGTCTACGGGAGAAAGCGTGGGCAGGGCATGGGGTTCCAGCAGGGTCTACACTGACCTGCTATGGGAGGGGACCTGTAGTCACCAGGGAAAACTGCTGAGTCTGGCCGGGTCGGAGGGGGTGGATCTGTAGAATTGCATGGCAGCAGGGCACACTGTTGGCAATCTCCGTGAAGAGAGTTGGCACTGTGCTCGTTACCACAGGTGTTGGGGTATCTAGGCTGGGGGCAGGGGAGGGAAATGCTGCCTGCCAGTTCTTTTGTTCTTGGAGCAGACTCCCAAAGATCCCTGCCCCTACTGCACACGCTGTGAGATTAGTATACAAATCTCCCTCCTGTATACCCCAGGCATTTTTCAAACTGCTGCTACTATGCTGTAGAAGCTGTTTGTTGTGCTGTCTACGTTGCAGGGGGGACACTCAGTTTCTTATTGCCCTCTGGCTCTCCCAGAGCTGAAGCAGCTGATGTGTGAAGTTCCAGGTGTGAAGCCCCACTGATTGTAAGAACTTGCAAAGCCGGGCCCCTCTGGTTCTCAAAGCCAAACTCTGTGGGGACTTGCCTTCCCTCTGCAGGCCCCTGTGCCTGGGGCACTTAGTGTCAGGGTCTGTTCCTCTCCCCTCCCCAGGCCCACCACACTCTTCCCTCCCACAGACTGTCCCAGGAGTCCACCTGGCTCCAGCACATATCTCCCCTTCCACACCTTCCTCAATCAACATGGCTTCTTCTCTATACCTAACTGTGGAGAATCTGTTCTGCCAGTCCTTAGACCATTCTCTGGGCCATTCATACTGATGTGTGTGCATCCAGTTGCGTCTATGGGATGAGGTGAGCCCAGGATCCCCCCACTTTGCCATCTTCCCTGGAGCCAAACATGTATCTTTTTATACTTGTATAAATATGTCCAGAATATGGCTAGAAGTGGAATTGCACAATCAAATGATGTGTGCACTTTGATAGATCCTGCCAAATGCCCTCCAAAAAGATGGTAACAGTTTACTCACCCACCGAGAATATCTAAGAGAGCTCATTTCTCCATATCCTTTCTTTTTTTTTTTTTTTAAGATTTTATTTATTTATTTGAGAGAGAGAAAGATATCGAGAGAAAGAATGAGTGGGAAGGAGAGGGAGAAGCAGGCTCCCAGCTGAGCAGGGAGCCCAATGCAGGGCTTGATCCCAGGACCCTGGGATCACGACCTGAGCCGAAGGCAGATGCTTCACCAACTGAGCCACCCAGGTGCCCCTTTCTGTATCCTTACTATTACTGGATATTATCAACTTTTGAAATTTGGGACCTCTGGTGGGTGGAAAATGATGCTCATTATTGCTGTGTTATAGTGAAGGTACTAGTAATATTTCTTGAAATGAATTGAGTTTATCTTTCCTCATGTAGGTTGGCATTACAAAGGTGTTTGCTGAAGTTCTCCCTTCTCATAAGGTTGCTAAGGTGAAGCAACTTCAGGAGGAGGGGAAACGGGTTGCAATGGTAGGCGATGGAATCAATGACTCTCCAGCTCTGGCGATGGCTAATGTAGGGATTGCCATTGGCACGGGTACAGACGTAGCCATTGAAGCAGCTGATGTGGTTTTGATAAGGGTAAGTCCTGTGGCCTGAATGTTGAGGTCCGTGATATTGCTCCACCTGGTCAGGGTTAGTGTTGTAAAGTATATCAAGTAGAACAACCCTTTCCTTCTAATTCCTGTGCTCCCAGCCTTTGAGACTAGGAGAATTCAAGATGGGAGTATGAGAAGTCCTACTAATTACTTCCCGACTTTCTCAGTCAAGCAAAGCAGATGAGAATGACAAGCTTCTAAAGTAAAGAATAAGATTGGGGAACGTACTTATAATAAAATTTTCTTCAACAAACACTTGCTGAGATTATTTTAAGTGAGGTAATCTACATAGCAGCATATAACCCCAAAAGTGTTTTCTAGACCCCTGAGGAAAATTCCTGAAAAACATCTTCCAAGGCTGACTGAAATTTTCAGCAATATTTGAACTTTATAGTTAATTCATATTACCCACCCTAAGGTACACATCATCTTCAGAATCACATTATCAATTACAAAAGTACTCGTTAAGTTAGAGTCTCTCCCTAATATCACAAATATTTCTGTTCTCAGAATGATCTTCTGGATGTAGTGGCAAGTATTGACTTATCAAGGAAGACCGTCAAGAGGATTCGGATAAATTTTGTTTTTGCTCTAATTTATAATCTAGTTGGAATTCCCATAGCTGCTGGTATGTGACTATTAGTATTACTTTTTCCTCTGAAGTCATTAGAGGCCTATCATTTTGGAAATTTTTAGTCTTATTATTAGCTTTGAGTTCAGTTTTTATAGGTAGCCTGCTGGTGTGGTAAAAGGTAATATTAAAATCAATAATTATAATTTTGAGCAATGTTCATTATGGCATAAAATGTATAAGCATTCTGATAGGTTTATTTTATTTTCCCCTCCAACTTTATATTTTGAAAAATTTCAAAGCTATATATAACCTGGAAAAAAGATACAATGAAAACCTGTATAGTCTTCATTTAAATTCACCAATTAATAATACTTTTCCACATTGTTTCATCTCTTTCTCCATATGCCCTCACATTTACATTTATATTTATGTTTATATTTATTTACTTATTTATCTTTTGCTGAAGAGAACAAATTTACTTTTAAAGATTTACTTTTTTAGAGAGAGAGAAAGAGCGAGCATGTGCAGGGGGAGGGGCAGAGGGAGAGAAAATCTACAGCAGACTTTCCCGCTGAGCATGGAGCCCAATGCGGGGCTCAATCTCAATGAGATCATGACCTGAGCCAGAATCAAGAGTCAGATGCTTAGCAGACTGAGCCACCCAGGTGCCCCAAGAACAAATTTACTTTTAATCTCACTACCCAAACACAAGTACTGTTAGCATTTTAGTGTATTTACTTCTAGTCTTTTTTATTTTGCATCAGTTTTTTTGTCTTGTTATATGGTTATAATTATAGCATACAGAGAATTTTTTGCTCTTCACTTAACATTCTAATAGCCAACAGGATTTTGTTTTTTTTTTAAGTTTGGGTAACAGGAGAGAAAGAGAGAGAGAAGGGGGGGTGGGGGGGGGAGGGAGAAAGGGGGATGAAAAAAAGGGGAGGAGAGGGACGGAGATTGACGGATTGAATAAAGGAATATGACCCAGAAAAAGCAATTTAGAATTTTTAAATAAACATTTGATAATGTCCTGTACTTAGGGACTTGGTAGGAGTTAGTAATAAATTGTATTTTTTTTTTTTAGAGAAAGAAAGTGCAGGGGGAGGGGCAGAGGGAGAGGGAGAGAGAGAATCTTAAGCAGGCTCCATGACCAGCACAGAGCCCAATGCAGGACTTGATCCCACGACCCTGAGATCATGACCTGAGTCAAAACCCTGAGTTGGATGCTTAACCGACTGAGCCACCCAGGTGCCCCAGGAGTTAGTAATAGCAGAAGAAAATAGTTATCACTTTCTTCTTCTTCTCTCTGGTTTGAGAGCCAAAGAGGACATGAAATGATGTAAGAACAATTACAAACCTATTTATAAACAAGGACACAAAATGCTGAGGGAACAAAAAAATAAAAGAACAATCAAAATCCAGAAAGATTAATTCATAGCAGCAAATGATTTTTTAAAAATTATATAAGTAGGGGCAGGGTGGAAAAAATTATGCAAGTAATATATGATCACTGTAGAAAAGAGAAAAATACAGATAAGCACATAAAAAGTTAGAAGTAGAGTAAGTCTACCTTATCCCTGTCATATAAGCCAAATGTCCAAATGTCTGTCAAATTCATACAACTATTCATACACTATTGGTGGGATTATGATGTGGTCCAAGGCACTCTGGAGAACAACTGAGGAATATCCACCTAAAGTTGAAGATGTGCCCATGTTACAATGCAGTTTCACCTCTAGGTATGTTCCCTGGAGAAATTCTCAAACACGTGCACAGGGAGACACGTACAAGAATGTTCACAGCAACACTCTATCCTCCTGTTGGTGGAGATTTATGTCACTGCCAATTTTTCACATATAACGTGCTGAATAAATATCAGACAAGGAAATGAGGTGTATGTATGTATCAGAAACACATTAATAATCTGTTTCATACTGTCTGCTCTAACTAATCCAAACTTGTTTCCTAGGAGTTTTTATGCCCATTGGTTTGGTTTTGCAGCCCTGGATGGGATCTGCTGCAATGGCTGCTTCATCTGTCTCAGTAGTACTTTCTTCTCTCTTCCTTAAACTGTGAGTATGATGGCTTGCTCACATTTGTATCTTATATTCCTTTTATCATCCACAGTCAGTCTTGGTAGGTCTTATTCTTGTGTGATGGGCCCAAACTGTTCTTAATAAGAAATGTTAGCTATGTCATAATCATCTTATGTAGTCTCTACCTAGCAAGCACAGCACTGTAAAATGTAGTACTTTGGCTCTGAGAAGTAGAATTTCTGATCATGTGACTCCATACAATTTCTTTTTGAGTGACTTTCCTAGCAGGAACCACCTTAGTAGATTTCATGCCCGGCAAATATATTTCCAGTTTTGACTGTAACAAGTGTCTAGTTCACATTTGCTTATTTCAAACTAGTGTATTTTTGCATGTGTTCAGTTATAGAAAACCAACTTATGAGAATTATGAACTGCATGCCCGAAGCCAGATGGGACAGAAAAGGCCTTCAGAGATCAGCGTTCATGTTGGAATAGATGACACCTCGAGAAATTCTCCTAAGCTGGGTTTGCTGGACCGGATTGTTAATTACAGCAGAGCCTCCATAAATTCACTCCTGTCTGATAAACGGTCCCTAAACAGCATTGGTACCAGTGAACCTGACAAGCATTCCCTTCTGGTGGGAGACTGCAGGGAAGATGATGACACCACATTGTAACAGGCCACACAGAATGCTACTAGATGTTGTTATGCACTGATACAGCATTAATGATGTCTCCTTAACTTCAAAATATCGTGGAAGGACTTTATATTGGTCTCATGCCCTTATGGTAGGGAGTCTCTTTGAATTGCATTTGTCTAAAGGCAAAAATACCTTTCTTCAGAGCATTAGCTCTCAACCTAGCTTTATTTAAAATGAATTTCCAATACTTTTTGTTTTCTCTAGTAACAGATAAGGTAGGCCAGTGAGGTTTACAACAAGCCCTACAATTGAAGATTGCTGATTTGCTGCTAAAGTGGTAGATAATTTTTTATTTGACCAAAAAGAAAAGGCTCAAGAGAAAGGATACTTGAAAGTTTGAAGATCTGAGAGCATGATCTTGAGGACATTCTTGAGCCCTCAGCCCTGCCAGGTTGGGGAACAAGGGCTTTAAAACACTGTATAAAGCATCTGGTTTTAGAAGGAAAACAGTAGAAACTGTTTAAAAATAGACGTGCCTTATTTATTACAGGCTTCCCCCCCCGCCCTTCTCTCTGCATCTTTGTCTTTGCAGTTGCTTTCTTAGATGCCCTAGTACGGTTCTTTGTCGTTGTTATTGTTCTTTCGAGTGAGCTCAGTGTAGGTGATTTTTGATGGATAAAAATAACTGACAACTTTTCCAATATCTTCTTCCTTTCTTTATCTTGTAGCCCAAAAGACCTTAAGGGTCCAGAGGGTTCTTTGTTTCCTATCTCTCCATTGTTGTAAAAAAAAAAAAAGATATCGGATTCTTCTTTCATTGACTCCCTAGCTCTGTACAAACTTTCAATTTACTCCTGCTTAGTTCCACTATAAATTGTTCTTAGTCTCTCAGCCTCAGTCCAGAAACTTAAGATTTTGAGCCTCTTCCACAGTTGACTTTTTCAGATTAACACTACCATCTTTAACATATACGGGTCATATGAAATTACCTGGATTCACTAAATTTGTCCTTTATGGGAGAGAATACAAGACTTTAGCTGGTATCTATAATTTAATAGATTTTCAGTATATTTTAGTATTTTAGATGACTTCTCAAGATGACTTTAAAATAATGCTATTACACAAAGCTGCATTTACCAAAAAATACAATAAATTGTCATACAGAAATGAGAATTTCCCTAGGTTGTGATACCTTTTAGCCAAATCTATACTTTTCTCTAGTTTAAAACATTTGCCCTTGCGAAGTTAGTGTGGTTCGCAAATTCAGGGGCTGTTCTCAGTGCCATATACATTTAGAAATCCCCCTCTGAGTGCCTAGGAGTGAATATACTGGTGAGAGATCTGGTACTTGTATCACTATTTAAATTCCTCCTGAATTGCAAGATGGATTTCATATGTAGAATATGGAAGTGAAAATAAATAAATAAATTCTTAATATTTGGTTCCCATCACCATATGTAAATCTGTTAGCACAATGCCTAGCACATAGGATCTGCACTCAGTAAATGTTAGTTCTTTTCTCCCCTTGAGGTCTGTAATGAATATTAATAATCAATTTTTTAGGGCAGAGTCTACAATCAGGTAGGAGTGGGGGATGGGTTTCTTCCTCTCCTACTTCCTTTCTCTCTTATCCTTTCATACACACACAGAAAAGTTTACCACATTATTCCATGTTGTCTTTTCAGATTTGGAAAAAAAAATCTCATTTTTATCTCAGCTATCTTAAAGAGAGAATTGAAACTATTGATGAAGGTGCTATTAATCTAGAAAGGCAAACCCGTCTTAATGAAATATGAATGTGATTGTATGTCTAGGCTCTTTAAATGCCTGTGCCACCTTCTATGCTTCCACTTTGAATTTTAATATTTGTTTTTTCTTTTAATTCTAGTGGTTCATCATACCACAACTTGTTTCTTCTAGAAGAAACAGCCAATAGGAAAAAATGTATAATAGACTTTTGACAAAAGAAACACCTCTCTCTCTTTCTCCCTTACTCTTTCTCTGTCTTTGAAACACTTGAACATAGCCAGTTACTACTTTTATTTCTATGTGTGTTTTTGAGTTGTCCTTTTGGGTCCCACTTGACAAGGGACCCACGTGTCCTAGGACAGTGAGAAGAGCAGCCTATAGTCTGGGAAAAATCAAGGATTTAATTTCACCCCTTGCTATCAGAACAGAAAACATGTTTAGAAAGAATCCTGGTTTAAATATCTGAAACCATCTTTGAATTCTCTACCACAAGTCTCTTTTGTAATCCTGAACTCCCATTAGCTTCATAGAACAGCTGTATTCACAGGAGAGAGAGAGATGATACCAGGATCAAAAACATTGCTTTCAGTTAGTAACTAGCTCTAAGTAACTAGTGGCTAGTGAGAACAAATGTTATAAATGTATATGTGTGTATGTATATGTCTATTCATACATATGTACACACACATATTTACCATATAGAAGGAAAATGGATTTATATTTGAATTTGACATTTGAATATCTGAAGTTCTTTATTTGTTGTTCCCTTATCACTCTTCTGTATTCACTCAGTAACCATGCCCTCGGTCTGAAGATAACAAGGATGTTTTGATATCCAGTGCTGGCTCTGACTCAACAATGGGGCACCTTTTATCTTGAATATCCAAAGATGCCTTTTGAATTTCAAAGGTTAAAACACAACTAGAATACTTAGTGTCCTAGTCTAAAGAAGTATGGTGGTCAGTTGTGAAAATAGAGGTGTTCTTTTTCCTAGTTTAGTATCAGCATTTTAGAGTGTTAAATTTGATGCCTTGTGAACAAAACATTTTATATTGTGCTTTAACTTTTTAAAAGTTTATTTTTTTCTTTTTTCAGATGTCTTCTTTCTTCAGAATGCTTAAAATAGCACTGTAGACAAGATGTTTCCAAAAATTTAAGTGTGCATATCTTTTATGTACACAGCTTAAAATCAAGAATGTATGTTCTTTGAGAATTTTTTTCCCATTTCTTGTGAATCTTGCTTTAAAATTATTTTTCTTAATATTTATTTTACTCTATTTTGTTATTTTCTTTGGCTGAGGCATCTGGTTATTGGTTATTTTAATAAGAATAAAAACATTCCTGGAATCACTCCCTTTGGATTTTTTGCTTGTTTATTTTGTACTTTTCTACATTTAAAAATATTATTTTACCAAATATAAAAAATATGGATTCATGCCGAATTATTAGCTATTTTTACACTAAGTTTCTGTAGTCCCTCTGAAAGTTTATCTGGTGTGAATAACCAGGTAAAGCAAAAAAGCATGAAATCTTGTTCTTCAGTTAAAAGAGCTTCTATCATGGCATTGATAATAGATACCTTTTGTAGCCAAAACCAGGCGTCTCAACCTTATGTTTTTAGTTAAATGTTTAACTAAACATTGTTAAACATTGATTGTTTGGTACCCAAAACAGCAGTGGACAATGTTGTGCAATAATCATCTACTACAGTTAAGATATTCAGTAGTTTGTTTTTCCATAAGCATGTAATTGATCATATTTCTGCCAAGGATGTGCCTTCAAATTTATAATTATAGTATTGTAGAGAAATGTGTTTTGTCAGTGTCTCTTTTGTTAAACCATCCAACTCTTCTTCCAGCAGTTCCAAATACCCTGGTTTAGTTTAGTTTTTTTTTTTTTTGACTGTTCATCAACGATGGGGCAGGCTTGGAGGCAGCATTACACATTCACTATGAGTAGGAGGGAAGAAAACTCTGGTTTCCTTCAGTTCCACCCCACCTACTGTATCATTTAGTGAGGGTGAAAAACAAAGAAAGGAATTTAGTTGTCCTCAAGAGGAATTTTGTAGTCTCTAATACATTCTTGAGATTATCTACCCCAAATGCGCTTAATGGAGGGGCGCCTGGGTGGCTCAGTCGTTAAGTGTCTGCCTTTGGCTCAGGTCATGATCCCAGAGTCCTGGGATCGAGCCCCACATCGGGCTTCCTGCTCAGCGGGAAGCCTGCTTCTCCCTCTCCCACTCCCCCTGCTTGTGTTCCCTCTCTCGCTGTGTCTCTCTCTGTCAAATAAATAAATAAAATCTTTTAAAAAAATGAGCTTAATGGAGACAAGAGGTTTTCTTACATTTGGTGGCCCCTGTACAGTGTTTGAGGATCCCACCCAAAACATATTCCCATACCAAGCACTTCTGTGGGTTACAGAGAGGGTTTTATTTTATTTTTTAAAGATTTTATTTGTTTATTTGTCAGAGAGAGAGAGAGAGACAGCACAAGCAGGGGGAGCAGCAGGCTCCCGCTGAGCAGGGAGCCCGATGCGGGGCTCGATCCCAGGTCCCCGGGATCATGACCTGAGCCGAAGGCAGACGCTTAACCGACTGAGCCACCCAAGCGTCCTGGTTATGGAAAGGGTTTTAAACTTATTGTAAGGAAAACCTCATTTTCATTTCTCTCCCCCAATCTTGAGACTATTCAGGTTGATGAGATAGGATTGGAAATGGAAACCTAAGAGTAAAATCCCTGAACCATCCACTTAGCTGCTCAGCCTCCCTCTTCTGTCAGTGTCTTGACTAACCTCCAAGAAGGATGTTCAAGATAGCAACATCCCAGGTGAGGTTTCAAAACCTTCTAGACACAAAACAAAACAAAACACCAGAAAACCTTCCTATTGGGGAATGCTTGCTATGTTAAGGCATCGAAGTCCCTGCTAAAATTCAAATAGAGACAAGAGAGGTAGAGCTGTATCTTTCACAAATTTGACCAGAGCCAACCAACTCTACTTGCATAATAGCTTCCTCTTCATAGATGTGACCGTTAGTTATGAAGAAGAATTAGAAGGGAGAGATGAAAGGCAAGATTCCAGGACAAGGTTTAAGTGAAGATGCTGTTATAAATAGGATCTCATGCAATGTAAGAAATCTGAGAACTTCCATACAGTCTTCTCTCTGGAAAAGTTTGAAATAGGCTGTGTAGTCTTTCGAATACTGTACCTATGGCCCTGGAGTGGCCCCCAGCTTTTCATTGTCAGCACCCAGCTCCTTGCCCCCAGGCCTGTCGATAAACTGAAGTGTTGCCATTACTTTAACATTACTTGTTTCACCTCACCCAAGCAAAACTTAGATTTCCTCACTGCAGTTTTATCACCAAGTAATAGGACAAAAATGGAGATTAATTTCACCCATCCTAAAATGCCAGTGACCTTTAAATCTGGCCAGAAGTATTTGCAGTTATTTGGAAAGATTATTTTTAATCCAAATAACTACTGAAATGAAAAACATCTGACTGTGTGGAAGAGGTTTGGGGGAAAGTAGACTCCAGGATCAACTCTCCTCAGCTCTTCTTGCTACTTGGAGCATTTTACCTTCCACTTTTCTTTTTTAAAGATTTTATTTATTTGAGAGAGAGTGAGGAGTGAGTGAGCATGAGCAGGGGGAGGGAGGGGCGGCAGACTCCCCGCTGAGCAGGGAGCCCAATGTGGGGCTCGATCCCAGGACCCCGGGATCATGACCTGAGCCGAAGGCAGCTGCTTAACCAACTGAACCACCCAGGCGCGCCTACCTTCCACTTTTGTATCCACCATTTCTTAAAAAGCATCACATCCCCCCATAGTGATGGGAAGAGCACTGCTTTTGGAGGCCACGGGACCTATTTGCAAACTCCCAGTTCTGCCACTTACCACCTGGGTGACTATTAGTTTCCTCTTGATGCTGTAACAAATTACAGCAAACTTTGTGTCTTAATACAAATTTATTATCTGGAGTTCTGGAGGTCAGAGTCTGAAATGGGTCTCAAGGCTAAAATCCAAGTGTCAGCAAGTCTGTATTACTTCTGTAGGCTCTAGGAGGAATCCAGTTCCTTGCCTTTTTCAGCTTCTAGAGGCTGCCTACATTTGTTGGCTCACGGCCCCTTCCTCGTATCACTCCAGCCTCTTGCTTCCATCATCCCATTTTCTACTATTACCTCTGACCCTTCTGCCTCCCTCTTACAAAGACCTGTGTCATTGCATTGGGTCCACTCTGATAATCCAGAATAATGTCTTCATTGCAATACCCTTAAATTGTATCTGCCAAGTCTCTTCTTGCCATGTAAAGTAACATTATTTTGCCTACCACAGTGACCATGGACAAGTTGCTTAATCTAACTGAACCTCAGTTTCTACAAGTGCAAAATGAGGATAAGACTACCTACCTTGTAGAATTGTGAGACTTGCTAGTAATGGAGATGAGATTTCCAAAACAGCAAAAGCACCATGGAAAATGCTGCCATTTCCTTGGCCTGAGCATAGGGATAGAAAGACAAACTTGCCACAGCCACTTGGGTTTGTAGATCAGTCATTGGTCTGGAGCTGCCTGAGATGCTAATGTCCTATTTTGAAGAGAGCTTCTTTTGCCTGTAGGAAGGCCTCATATGATGTGATTTAAGGAGCACCAAAAGAGCCACCTGCTTGACCCAAATACTGCCTATACCAATCACATTCTTTTGAGTCCTTAAACTTAACAATGTTAGCCTTTCCTTTTCTTCCATAATTGTCACTCTTCATCTTTGTGCCCGTTCAACTAAAATAACACTCCCACACTGAGGAATAGCTAAGCGCATTCTTAAATTTAGGACCATAGCTGTCGGACAAAGTCCTCTCCCATAGTCACAATGAACCAGCTGCCTCTGTTCAAAATAAATTACTCTGTATGTGTTGTAATGAGCACCAGGTATTATATAAGATTGATGAGTCACAGGCCTGTAACCCTGAAACAAATACATTATATGTTAATTAACTGAATTTAAATTAAAAAAATTATTCTGTTCCTTATTAGGTTGAACCACTGGTTCAGCTTGTGGGAAATGCAAACTATCAGCTTCCCTGCCCCAAGACCAGATGAACCAGAACCTGCCTGTTAACAGGATCCCTGTTTGTATGTGCGTTAAAATATAAAAAGCACTGCCTTGAAAACGAACTGCTTTGGAGTAAGTTGGAAATGCCTACAAATCTGTCAAAGACCCACACAGGAATCTTCCAAACTATAATCATTTGAGGACAACCTTCATAATTTATTTTCTTTTGCTATTAGAGAATGTGTTAACTGGAAAAATTAAAATTAGGAGGAGGATAAGATGGCTGAGGAGTAGCAGGACCCTAGGCTTGCCTTGTCCCTTGAACACAGCTAGATAAATAGCAAATCTTTCTGAACACCCAAGAAATCCAACCAAGGTCTGAGAGAACAAACTGCACAACAAGAGATTAAAAACAAAACAAAAAACCCAAAAGAACCCCTGCCACATAGTGGAAGGTAGAAGCTGCAGAGAGTTAATTTGCGGGACCAAAGAGCTGTGGGCACTGCAGAGGGGAGGGAGCCCTGATCACGGAGAAAGGGGCGAGCGAGGGAGAGAGAGAGAGAGAGAGAGAAAACATGCTCAGGGGATTGCACAAGAAAAACTCTAGAAATAGGAGAGGGGCTGAACACCGCAAGATTTTTAGAAGCCATGAAGCGAAAGTCTGAAGTTTTAGAGGTCAGCGCCCTCGTGAGGGCCTCGACTGGTAGGCGTAGGGGATCTCTGGTGGGGAAGGGGGGAGCCCCCCGGGAGTGCGCAGCCTGGTCTGAGGACCCCCTGGGTCGCACGGGAAGAAACCGGTCCCCTTCTCGGAGCGCATTTGGGAGAGACGGCAGGGCCTGGCTGGGGACAAAAGACCCGGCAGGCTCCCCCGAGCTGCTCGGTTCACTAACAGGACCGGGGACGCCGGCTGACTCGCGAACCTTGGCGCGGGCTCTTGGCTGTGCTTTTTACCACGAACTGCGAGCCGCCGTGCCGTCCGCGGCCATTTTCTGGGACTTGCCGGCACCTGGCAACAGTGAAGCGAGATCGTCCCCCGGGGGATCGGCGGGGGTCTGTGCCAGGCCGATCTCTAAAATGTGGGGTTTTGAAATCCAGCCACACGCCTGAGATGAAACACAGGAGTACTGGGCTGCTGGCAGACGGACAGCTCGGACGCAGGCAGGGTGAAGGCAGAGATCTGGTGGAAGCCGGGGCCACAACACGGGTGACTGTTTGCTCTTCCGTGAGGGCTTCCTGAAGACTGGCAGCCGCCAACATCCCGCTCCAGGAACAAGACGGCAGAGCAACTGCAGAGCAACGCCATTCCAGCCGCCCCGCCGCCCATCAGCACCGACCAACTTAAGTGAGCCACACAGCACCACCAAGTGGAGGCCAGAGGTGCTTACACCAAACCCCGACCCCCCTGTGCCCTGCAGGTGCGTTTCCACCAGGGCAGGTCAGGCAGAGAATCAGGGCACCAAGTCCCAACCCCCAGCGACCAGTATGAACCCCTCCCACACACCAAGCCTGCTGATCGTAGAGTGCTGCAAAGCTTCAGCTCTAGGGAAAATAGGATCCAGTTTCCTTTCTTTTTGTTTTAGAGAGGTGGGGGGGGGGAGTGGGGAGGGGCAGAGGGAGAGGGAAAGAGAGACTCTTAAGCAGGCTCCATGCCCAGAGCAAATAGCAAATAGCCCCTACTAGGGGCTCGATCTCATAACCCTGAGATCATGACTGAGCTAAAATCAAGGGTTCCACGCTTAACGAACTGAGCCACTCAGGCCCCCA